ATGATATCTTGATACTCTGTGTTTGTGGGGATGTGGGGCCAAATCATCCTTTATTAGGGGCTGCAAATTGATGCAAACTTTTTGGAGGACAATTTTGTGAAAATCTATTAAAAATTTAAAAGCACATAAGCTTTCCTCCAGAAATGTCTTATTTGTTTGTTTGTTTATTTATTTATTTAGAGACAGGGTTTCTCTCTGTTGCTTGAGCTACAACCAGCATACTGGTGTCATCACAGGCCACAGCAACTACAAATTCCTGGGCTCAAGCAATCCTCTTGCCTCCTCCTTCTGAGTAGCTGGGACTACAGGCACAAGCCATCACACCCAGATAACTTATCAGTTTTTTGTAGAGACAGGGTCTTGCTCTTGCTCGGGCTAGACAAATTTCATATTTATAAGTTTATTTTACACGTTTGTAGGTAACTGCAAACAAATATATGTACTAAGATATTTCTTGCAGGCAACATTGTTTGTGGTAACAAAAGGCTGATGACCTATATCCACCAATTGAGGAATAGTGAAATAAATGATGGTACAACATGTGATGGAAGTTAAAATCAATTATCTACAGACAGGTGTGTTACTATGTAAAAATAGCAAGTGCTGAACAGTGTGGAGTGTGCGCTATCATTTGTGTCAAATACACACGCTGCTTATCTATGCCCCAGATATCTCTATTTTATTTTATTTTATTTTTTTTGAGACAGAGTCTTACTATGTTCCCCCTGGGTAGAGTGCCATGGCATCACAGCTCACAGCAACCTCCAACTCCTGGGCTCAAGCGAATCTCCTGCCTCTGCCTCCCAAGCAGCTGGGACTACAGGTGCCTGCCACAACACTCTGCCATTTTTTGATTGCAGCCATCGTTGTTTGGCAGGTCCAGGCTGGATTCGAACGCACCAGCTCAGGTGTATGTGGCTGGTGCCTTAGCCACTTGAGCCACAGGCACCAAACCCCCAGCTACCTCTAGAATGATACTTTATTTTTATTTATTTTTTTGAAACAAGGTCTGGCTGTGTTATCCAGGTTGCAGTGCAGTGGTGATCTCATAGCTCACTGCAACCCCAAACTCCTACGCTCAAGCAATCCTACCACCTCAGTCTCCTGAGTAGCTGGGACTACTGGCACCCACAACTATGGCCTGACCCCCAGCTAATTTGTTTTATTTTTTCTAGAGACAGGGGTCTTGTGTTTTCCAGGCTGGCCTTGAACTCCAAGCCTCAAGCAGGGATTACAGGTGTGAACCACCATGCCCAGCAGATGTCTTTGGCAGGGAATGGGAGGGGTGTGCTATTGATGGGAGACCTGATTTTCTTTGCACATGTTTTATTTTTTGTTTTCTCTTCTTTTTTACCTTTCCTTTTCCTTCCCCCCTTTCTACCCCTCTCCCTTCTTCCCTTCCTTCCTTTGTTTCTTTTTTAAGAGACAGGGTCTTGCTGTGTTGCCCAGGCTGAAATGCAGTGGGGTGATCATAGGTCACTGTAACCTCAAATTCTTGAGCTCAAGAGACCCTTCCACTTAGCTAGGACTACAAGAGCTTACCACATGCCTGGATAATAGTTTTTGTAGAGACAGGGACCTTGTTATGTTGCTCAGGCTGGGCTGGAACTCCCAGGCTCAACCCAGAGTGCTGGGATTATAGGTATGAGCCACTGTGCCCCGCCCCTTTTCTTCTTAGAGGCATCTACTGAATATTGGTGACACCGGGGGTGGGGGTGGGGTGGGATGGTGCGGGGGTTCAAAGAGGAAATATATTTAGTCATCTGAGCTCTGAATGTCCCCAGTGACTGCACAATCCCTCTATCTCAGGTGATAAGGTGGTAACAGTCCAGAAATGTCACCCCTGCAGGAACTCCAGCCATCACCACTGTAGGCCTGTCCTTGTCTCTCATACCATCTCTGTCCAGAAGGGGGAGGCACAGACCCACCAATGCATTGGTCCCAAACTCCACCATCAAGGATTCCCTTTTTTAAGAGACAGGGTATCTGTCACCCAGACTGGTTACAGTGGCCAGATCATAGCTCACTGCAGCCTCCAACTCATGGGCTCAAGTGATTCTCTCCATTGGACTTCCAAAGTGTTGGCATTACAGGCATGAGCCACCAAGCCTTGTCCCGGAGCCTTCTTCTTTCTAGTATCCTTTCCTTTGTGTATTTTGATGGGAATGATACTTCCTGCAAAGCCAATGAAATTTATTAAGTAATAATTGATTATATTTTCTTCTTTACTTTTTTTTTTTTTTTGAGACAGAGCCTCAAGCTGTCCCCCTGGGTAGAGTGTCGTGGCATTACAGCTCACAGCAACCTCTAATTCTTGGGCTTAAGTGATTCTCCTGCCTCCACCTCCCAAGTAGCTGGGACCACAGGCGCCCGCCACAACGCCCGGCTATTTTTTGGTTGCAGCCGTCGTTGTTTGGCGGGTCCGGCTGGGGATTCAAACCCGCCACCTTAGGTGTACGTGGCTGGCGCCTTAGCCGGTTGAGCTGTAGGCGCCGAGCCTTCTTCTTTACTTTTTAAGAATTTTTGTAATGCACAGTTCTGATCATAATATAGGCTTGCTGAGATGATCATTTTCCACACGAGAAGTTCTACTTATTTCCACCAGAACTTATGTGTGTGTTGGGGGAGTGATGGTTGGCAATGGTCTGAGGACCCCCAGGGACAGAGGAGACAGGCTGACAACTGCTGTACTAGCCTGGATTTTCAGCTGCAAGGCACACTCCTATCCTTTTCTTTCACCCTCAAAGTAGTTCTGGGTAAGAGGAAGCATGAACACTTGGTCCCAGAGGCTGACTTAAGCAGCCACTGTGCCAGATGTGTTTAGAGTCTATCCCTTACTCAGCTGTGAGCAGCTCAAGGACAGGGACTCTTCTCATCTGCCACAGAATCCCTACGACTGAACACAGTGCTGGGTGTACAGCTGGTGCTAAGTAAAAAGGCTTATTGCTGAATTGAAAGAGACAGCCATTGAGAGATAGAGTTAAATCCTTAAAAAGAGAGAGAGAGGGGGAGACAGAGGTCCTAGCTAATTTCAAGGGCAAGGACCCAAGGGCAAGGCTCTAGTCTGTTTCATGATGGAGGGCATGGCAGTGAGCAGTGAGCAAGGAATAGATCACTTTCTCTGCATGCTCAAGAAGAATCATGCTTTGACTTACCTTGGAGGTCCCTGGAGCTAGGATATGAAATAAGTGACTGTTATCTCTCACCCACCTGGGTTGATGGTAACCTTGGCAGGAGAAAGGCTTAAACCAGGTCAGCTTGGGAAAAGGGGCTGACTTCTCCCAGGGTCTTCCTCAAGATGAGATAGTTAACTTCTCAGCTCTTGCTTGAATTCTTGTCAGTGGTTCTAAATTTGAGGGCAAAAGGAGGAGGAAGCTGTAAGGGGAGAGGACACTTATGGCTCCTGGCCTGGCCCAGAGAAAATCACAGCTTATACAGTGGGCCTGCCCTCTTCAGTACCCTGGGAGTATTGGGGAACCCTCACTGGAGGACCCTACAAATCAAATACAGCATGAGAGGAGCAACTACAAGACCCTCAAATTCAGGCTGGCAATTGTGGGTCTAACTCCCCACCCAATACTCTCTTACCTGGATGATACAGGCAGTTCAGGACCAGGACAGCAACTTCAGGTAGTGTAGATTTTGGAGGTGGATAGAGAGGAGGCTTGTTTCTGCCTTTTATGAGCTGTGTGCTCTTGGATAAGTCACTTAACCACTCTGAGCTTCAGTTTCTCCATCTCTAAAATAAGGATATAAATACCTACCTTTCCTGGTAATTGTTGGATGAAAGAAAAGAAGAGCTCTGAAAGCATTTCTGTAATTAGCAGACATCAGAGATTGTTTTGTCCAAGGTGAGAGGCCACCCTAGGTCCCTGATGGTGACACAGGCAAGGAAATTTCTTTTTCTTCCGCAGCAGTGCCTGCTCATTTCCCAGCCTTGCGGCTGGCTGCCTTTAATCCTCCCATCCTCAATTCCCTGCTTCTCCTTGGGATCGCTTGGTGGTCTCAGCTTCTTACAGACTGCCCTTTTTCATGAGTGCCCCCATTATAAAACCACTGGGGATAACGGCACATGCGCACAGTTGGGCGAGGTGGGACAGGTGGTGTGGGTCTCTGCTGGCTTGAGTCCATGCTTCCCACCCTGTTTTGGGGTTCCTGTTTGCAAATGGATCCCTCTGATCTCAGCTTGTCTCTGGTCTAAACAGAGGAGCCAAGAAACAAGAAGTGGGGGGGCAAGAAGGGGGTTCCCACCTTCTTAGTTGGGGACCCCAGAGGGGGACGCAGCCTTTGCGTCCCAACACCGCACTCTCATGGGTCTCCCAGAAGCTTTCGCAGTTGCTGACAATCCTGCACTCTGATGGTTGCCCCCCTGGTCTCTGGGTCGGGTCGCGACCCCCTTCAGCCAGACCTGGCCGATCCTCCGCTCCCGGCGAGCCGAGGATGCGGTTCTAGGACCCGGAGGCGCCGCCGAGCGCGCCGCCGCCTTGGCCTCGCCTCGGTCGCCTCCCTCTCCGGCAGGTGAAGCGGCACTGGCCGCCCCCTCTGCGGCAGGTGAAGCGGGTCGGCAGCCCCCTCCCCGCGGCTCCATGGCTGTGGTGGTCCCCCGGCCGGCGCCCGGCGCCCGCCTCCTCCCTCCAGCCCGCCCCCCTGGGCTGGGTGCGCAGCGGCGGCGGCGAACTGCGGTTTGCGCGCACCGAGAGCGACAGCAGAAGTTCGAAATTCGCGGAGGGGGGAGCCCGCGCCGCAGCTTCCTGCCCCCGGCCCAGCCCTCTGGCCCCGGCGGCCTGCAGCCTGACTTCCTCCCCCAACCCTGCAGCTCGCCGCCCGGCGCCCTCGGACGGGGCCGCCCCGATGGGACGCCGCATCCCGGTCCCTGAGCGCCGCTGAGCCAAGCGCCCGCCGTCGCCGAGCCCCCCGCCGACGCCGCAAGCCGCTGTCCCCCTGATCCCGGGGCCAGGAGCCTAGTCCCTGTCCCCCGGAAAGCTGGATTTCCGAGGTTGGAGGCGCCTGGCTGGCTGGGTGGGGACCACCATGGGCAATGCGGCCGGCAGCGCCGAGCAGCCCGCTGGCCCGGCAGTGCTGTCCCCTAGGCAGCCTGCTGCCCCCAAGCAGCCGATGCCCGCGGCGGGAGAGCTGGAAGAAAGGTTTAATCACGTCCTGGTGAGTGTGACCCAGCTGCGCACAGGGCACGGGCAGGGGGCGGCTGGGGCTCAGCACGCGTCCCCGCCCCCGGGGACTCAAGGTGCCGCTTGGAGATCCCCGGCCGGCGGCTGCCCTCTCCATGGGGTAGGAGTGACAGTAGCTTTTTTCAGAGTGACTTAGCAGTCTCCCCCAAAAACTTTCCTCTGCAGTCGCCCGGGCTCCCTTCCTAAGACGTCTTCCCCCTCCACGCTGTTGGGTCTAAAGGTCTAAACAAAAATGTCCTGTGAGGAACTTGGGAGCAGAGCAAGGGGGTCCTGGGTCACTTCCCTCACCACTGCACCGGCAGGTACAGGACTGGAGCATCCGCCCTTCTGTGCCTGGGTGTCAAAGATGGCAGGGGTTATAACCTCTGGGGAGCCGGGAGCCAGACCTGGAGGAGGTTTTTGGTTTTGATTTGTTGGATACCTGGGCTGCTGGGAATTGGATTGTTAGCTTGTGAAGAGGGGGTGTCTGTGTTTCTCACCCCCCAAATGTCAGAGAGAGGCTGCCTGGGTCTTCTTTTGGGCATCCCCTCATAGCCACTGAAGGGAGTAAGATTAGGAAGGGTGGGGTGGGGAAGAGGGGGTCACTCTGGCTTGGGGTGGAGCAAAAGCCTGACATCCCCCCTGAGGAATTGGGGAGGCCTGGGGACTAGGCCAGTGGGGAGGAAGCCAGCAGCTCAGGCTGAGCCTGGAAGCAGTCAAAATTGTTTGGTGGGTCAGGGGCTCTGGAGCAGGATCTGAGTCCCCAAGACCCTGTGAGAGGCAGAAGTGGGGAGGAGGAGGGCTGATCATTCTCACTTCCCCCTCCCTATCTACACCCTGTTCCCAGCTCTCTTCTTTAACTAATTGCCTGGTGGCCTGTGTGCTGTCAGTCCTCCCTTGCTGGACACTGGGTGACAGGCGGATAAGGCTGTGCTTTTTCCCAGAGGCGTTTCCCAGTCTGGGCAGGCTGGTGCTGCAGGTCTGGCAGGGCTGGGGGACACAGGGAGCAGAAGGTGATGGCTCAATTCTTCACCCCTTACCTCCTTGACATCATTTCCCCTCCCCTGGCCAGTCATTAGGCCATACTTGCTAGATCCTCTGCATGGCCCCAGAGAGTAGCCTCCTAACGGTTCCTGAAAATCTTGGCTGCTGCCCTTCCTGGGAGAAGGCCAATCAGAGTTTGTAGGAGCTGTGGGGTGGGTAGGGTCTGTCCTCATGAAGCCACTTTGCTTGATGGGGGTGTACTCTGAGGGATGCCTCACACCAGGCTGTTCCTGACTTCCCCATCTCTCCATCTGCCCTTCCTTCCCCCTCCCCAAACCCAGGACTGAGCTAATCCAAGAAGCTGGAGGAGGGGGAGAGTGAGGAGACAATCTCTGGGGGCCATCTAGGGAATCTGTGTTGATGGTGGGTCCAGGGACCCCCATAAGCCTGATTGGGGGTACATGGGTCTGTTTCTCTACCCAGGTGTGTATCTGTGGAGGAGGAGGTGGGGTGGACTTTTGGGATGCCATCCAGGCCCCAGTCTGCTTTCTGTCAGGAACACTATTGGGGTGGAGCCATGTGAACAATTCAGAACACCAGAACATTCAAAATTCAAGTGATAAGGTTCTAATGCATGGGTAGGACTTGATTGCCCTGCTAGGATTTGTGGCTATAACTGATTGGCTGAGTCTGACACTAAATGCCACCACTGTGAGTCCCTGAGTAACAGTGCATGGAGAAGTCCCAGAGATGGGTCTTAGAGGGTGTCCTGGTAGAGAAAGGGGTGGTGGCTGGGTAGAAATCTAGACAGCAGCATCCACTGAGATGTACCCTCTGCCTGGTGCCCAGGAACCCCGATGTGTTCACACCTTCCTCCAAGGGAGGATTCAGTCCATCCTTTGTCCTGATGTGAACAGGGTGAACCCAAACCTAAGGTCACTCTCCACCAGCAGGAGCATGAACCCTACCCTGCCCAGGGTGACAACTTTGGCCTGGGGCTGCCCAAGACTACCCATCTGGCTAAAGCCAGAGGTCTGCTAATGGGTATTGTAGGATGGGTCTCCATCTGACCGCCTCTCCCACTGCGACCAGAACTGAGTTCAGCCAGACAGGAGGAGCAGGGAGCTTTCTCCTGTGCTAGGGTGGGTGGTGGTGGGCCACCTTTCCAAGAAGGCTGTGAGTGAGGGAGTGCCCCCAGCTTAAAATGGGGGTGGGGAGAAAGAGCAGGTTGAGCCAGGGTTTCCGGCTGCTGCCTTAGCAACAGCGGAGGAGCGATGGCTGCCCAGATTCATGGGCCTGTGTGATGGTAGGAACACCAGCCGGCCAGGCTCCAAGCTCTCGCCTCTCCTACGCCCGTGCCCAAGGCTGGGTGTCTTCCAGCCCCTTCATGTCTTCCCCTGTAAGGCATGCAGGGTCAGAGATTGGGATGACAAGCAGACCTGCCAGAGTACCATGCTTATAGCTGAACACAGGATATCTCTGATCTGCCTGGCAGGGAGAATCCTACAACCTCGGGGCAGAGGGATCAAGGGAAGGTGTTGGGTATGGTGTGTGTGAGGCCAAGAGTGATGCTGGCATTTGAGAGGGGGCTGAGCCATTTGGAGAGGAATTGCCTCATAAGTACTCTTAGCCTGTGCCCAGGGACCTGATGAAGAGTTCAGGACAGCCCCCAGCAGGGTTTGGGCTCTGGGAGCAGGCTGAGCCCCTTTGCCTTTGGGGTTGGTGGTGGTGAACTGAGGTACAGACTTCTTGGCCAGCCCCCTCCTCTGGGGGAGGGCAGATGAAGTTTGGGGGTATGTAGACATGGGAGTTGCCCAGGTTCTGTGCCGCCCTCCTGGTATATCTCACACAGAGGATGTCAATGGGGTTGTAGCCATGTAGTCAGACATTGGTCTGTGCAGAGGCTGTGGGATGGCATTCCCAGCAGGCAGGGCTGGCACATACTAACCTGGAAAGCCAAGGATGTGGTAGGCATGATTCACAGTGACATCTGGAGCCGGTTGGCACAGAGCTGGCTGGGTGAGATGGGCAGGAGCAGGTGGGCATCTCTTGGGGCCACTTCTGCATTTTTCTGGGAACATGGAGCCCTGGAAGGTGACTTTGGCCTTTCTGCCTTTGACAGGCCAGGGGTTACTCAGGGGAAAGGCAGGGAGGATTCCTGGGCTTTGGGGTCATAAAATTTCATCTTGAGTTTCATCTTTGCCACTTGCCACCTGCGTGACTTTGAGCAAGTCACTTAACTTTTCTGAGCTTTCGGTTTTCCTTACTTATAAAAAGAGAATAACAATGGTAGATGCCAGCCTCCTAGGATTGGTGGGGGGACTTACAAGCGCTCAGTAAACAGCTCTCCACTGTGAGGAAGGGGATGATGTTAGACCTGATCTGGTCCTCTCCATCTTGGGTTCCTTCTCAGTGAAAGAGCTTAGACTCTGCCTCCTCCCCACTCCCACCTTTACTACCAAGAGCACCCATGATTGCTGTGCACTCCCAAAGAGCCCCACATCTTTAGCCAGTGCAGCCCAGGCAGCCTCCTTGCCATTATGCAGGTCAGCAACAGTGGTGCCTAGACGGAGAACGGCAGAGAACTGCCTGGTGGCCGGAAACCACCAGAGGGAGGGCCCACCTCTCCTGGAGGGTGGGGCAGCGGTGGTGCTAACGGTAGCAGTGTGCACATGAGGAGGGGGCAGGGAGGCCTCCACTTCCCCTAAGAGAGGGTGTGCTGGGGGGGGTTCCCCAGTGAGTAAGACTTGGTGTGGGCAACAACAGGAAGCATAGGGTACTGGGTGGCAGGAAGTGGGGCTGGCTGTTCCTGGTTCCCCAGGGGTGGCCTGGGGGCAGGCTGTCTGCAGAAGACCCCAGGGGCCCAGGACCCATATTTCTCATTGCCCCTTGTGCCAGGAAACGGAGTCTTCATCTTACCAGCCTGCTATCTAGGTCACCTGTGCAAACTACGTAACCTCTCTGAGTTTCCCATTGGTGAAATCAAGATTATCTGTGTAGTACCTACTTGCAGTATCTACTTTTTAGGCCTGTTGTTGAAGTTTAAACGAGCTATTAGATGTAAAGCCTGTAGAATGGCACCTAGCACAGAGTAAGCGTCTAGACAGAATTTTTATTGTTGGCGGTGTTGTTATTCTTCTACCTGCTGGGATTATGTGGGAGTGCCTGGTGTCCTGGTCCCCACCTTGCTTGCCCTTGACCTTGTTGTGGGAACCCTTGAACCCTGATGGGAGAAGCTGTTACCTTTTTGGGGTTCTCAGCACCTGATCTTAGGGTTGGGTCACCTCACAGCCCTCCTCCAAGCCTGGGATTGCTTGTAAGAGCTCTAAAAAATTTATATGCTGGAATTTTTTTTTTTTTTCAGTTTTTGGTGGGGTTTGGGCTTGAACCCACCACCTCTGGCATATGGAACCGGCGCTCTACCCTTTTGAGCCACAGGCGCTGCCCCTATGCTGGAATTTTTTAAAGTGGATAAAATTGATTGTTTTGGGGGATTTGTTGAGAACTCTAAAACCAAAGTTGAGACCATACAGAGGTGGATGAGGGTGGTGGTGGTGGTAGAGAAACAGGGGCTAGGGGACAGAACAGGCTTTTGAGCCCATGGGGCTGAGGAACCTCTGTGGAGATGGCCTGAAGTTGGGATTGGTGTCCTAATTCAGGGGCATCCTTGGGTTTGAGGGCAGAGCCATGGGAGAGGTAGGCAGGTGGGTTGAGACCTAGACTCAGCTCAAACTGAAAGTAAAACTGTAGGTGTGGCTGTGTCCAGGGGTGGAAGGAGCCCCTTCAGCTTCCGGGGACAACACCTCAGAGCAGGGCTTGTAGTCTGATCCTGCAGTGTGGGGGGCCTGACTCACACCGAGGGCAAGTAGGGAGGAGAATGGTCCCCACACATTGTAATAGAAAGATTCAGGGCCACACCCTAAAAGATGAATCCTGTCTTCTTCTTCTGATCCAAAGTGCTAAAGGCAACAGGGAAAGTGGGCTGAAGTGTGAGTTGGTATTTTGCCCAAGCCTTGGAGACAGGTCCTTTTTTCCAGATGTTTTCACAAACTTCTGTTCACCCTACAGTCCCCCACCTTAAGGTCGTCTATGGACTCCCCCACATTCCTGCATCTGTGAACTGCCTCTTCATAGTGTTCAGTCATTGAAGAGTATTATTACATTGAAAGTCAGCTTCTTACAGAGTGCTTCCAGGCGTTCTGTGAGTGTTAGGCAGGAGAGTGTGTCCATTTTATGGAAATGGAAGCTGAGGCTCAAAAAGGCAAAGAAGCCGGAGGGCTAGTTGGGCCCAGAGCTTGGGTCTTCTGAATCCAGCTGGGGTGCTCCATGGTACAGCTAGCCCTCTCCAGCCCCTCTCAGGAGGTAGATGTCCCCCCTGTACTGCTTGCCCTTTCCTGACCCATTTGAGCACTGTCAGGCAACCTCTCGCTTGTCCCCAGACTCTCAGTCCTCCAGCCCATGGTACTGCCTCGTGGCTGTAGGCCCTGGGTCTAGTGGTGCTGGTTTTTAGGGTGGCCTCACCTCACCTTGAGTGAGTGGCATCTGCTGGCCCCTCTCCTATTCCCTGGAGTGCCCGTCTCCTCGGTGGGCACAGCCACAGCTGAGGAGCAGCTGCTAATTAGTGCTCAGCACTGTCAGAGCTATTTCTGATTTCTGAGCCTAAATTTAGCCTGTCTGGCAGGCTGGCATGTGGGCCTGGGGCCTGAGGAGGCCCAGGTGGGGAGGGGGCATAGGAGCCCTGTCCTCCACCACTGTTTGGACAGGTGCACCAGGCCCCAACAGAGGCCTCCTCTCCCAATAAGGACCCTGGGGCTGTCCTGGGGGAGTGAGGGCAGTGGCTCAGAGTCACAGCACTAGGCTTAAAGCCAGCCTAGCTCCCCTCTTACTGGCTTCATAACCTTGGGCAGGTCACTAAACTAATCTGTGCTTGCACCTGTGGATGGGAATGATACTGGTGCTGGTAATGGTGGCTCAGCACAGTAGCCTGCATGGTGTGCATTCTGGCAGAGTGGAGCTGGCTGCCACAAGTTGGGGTCATTGTTATGAGTAGTTACTGCCTTTGGAAATGCCATTGGTGCCATTCCAGAACCAAACAGTCCCCAGGGTAGGTGAGTGCTGGGAAAGACCTGTGCTGGGAGGTGGCTGTCCCCCTAAGACCCAGATGCTCATCCCCATCCTCACCCTACCCTCATCTGCCACCATTGTATTGGCCACAACTCAGTGTCCCTGGCATAGCGCTGTCTCTGTGCTTCCTCCTTTCTCCTTAGCCTGTTCCCCTACCTCAGAGGCCCCACCCTTTGTCTCTGTGGGGTGGGGATGATTCAGAGAGATCTATTGGACAGATGGATCACAGAGAGACAGGCAGGCAGACAGAGGAGACAGGGCATGGCCTTGCCTCCTCTATACTCCTGGCAGTCCCTACTATGTGGCAGCAGGAGCTGTCCTGGTCCTTGGAGGGTGGGGGAGGGCGGCCTGATGAGACAGCAGTGGTTTCCTCAATCCAGGCTTGCTTTCGCAATGGAGGAGAGGGATGACGTACCCCCCACCCCTGCCCCCGGCCTGTGGGGGCCTGGCAGATGGACAGTTTCACCTCTCAAACAGGTCCTGGCCGGAAAGCTTAGGCAACAGGGGCGCGAGCACCCGGCTTCCTGTTGTCTGACCCAAGGCAGTGATTTTTGGGGGTGAGGTCTGGCCAGAGCCCCAGAACTAGGCCCAGTACCCCAGAGAGGAAGTTGGCTGAGGAGCCTTGGGTAGGTGTGGCTCCTTCTTTGCTCCAGCTGTGGCCTCTCCTCCTGGCCACAGGACTGAGTGTGTGTAGTCTCAAACACCAGGGCTGGTGACAGGAGCCTTCCAGACTCCCTGGGGGCATCCCATATCCCCTCTGAGACCCTGGCTAACCTTGGAGCTCCTTGAGGGCCTGATGTATGGAAGGCCCTCAGTAAACCTGGGATTTACCCAATTGGGGTGAACTCGCCTCGTCTTTTGGGTCTATTAGGGAGAAACTAGTCCTGGGGGCCGGAAAGCCCCTGGTGATGTCAATATCTCTGATTCTACAACCCTGGGCTGGCCCCACCACAAGCCCTGTGGTGCAGGGACAACACACCCTCGTCTGTGGCTGGGGAGGAGGACCAGGCAGAGCTCTTCTGACCTTTCTTTGCTCCTGAGGGGCGTCCCAGCAGGGCTCCCACGGCCACAGGCCTATGTGCTGGCTGTTTTCCCTCGTGCTCCCTCGGCCTGTGGCTGAGAGACCTGCCACCCCTGCAGCTGTGACATACCTGGCAGTTCCCTGCCTGTCTGATGGGGCTGGCCCAAGCTCCCTCAGCCATTTCTTTCCTTTCTCATCTTTCCCCCCAGGCGGGAGGTGGCTGGAGAGGGACAGGGAAGGTGGCTGCCATCTGCCTTCCTTGAAAGAGGATTTCTGGTGTTTGTGAAGGACTGGTGTCCTGGGCCTGGTCTGTGTATATATGGTGTCTGGTGCCACGTGGGGATGGGATACTATCTGCTGGCCACACGAGCCTGGCTGGAGATGGCTTCCCTATTGGCTTCCTACCCAAATAGGTGAAGAGATAAGGCCCCCTTGTTGCAGACAGAGCCCAGAAGAAACTGAGGTCTGCAGGGAGTTAGGCTGAGAACGCACGTGTCTGCCTCCATGCTTGGTGGGTGGGGAGGCAGTATGGGGATGGCAGAGCCCAGGCAGACTCAGATTCAAATTCTGGTGTCACTTTCTAACTGTTGGGCCCTGGGGAAGGTTTGCCACCTCTCTGGGCCACAGTTTTCTCATTGGATGATGATACTTATCTCCCAGGGGAAGAGGGCGACACACCTACTAGGAAGCTTAGTGGATTCCCCCACAAACACAGATGTTCCCCTCCCCCTCACACTGGGGCTCTAGGTTTAGGGTCTTTATTTTGACCTTCCTCTCTCCAGAACTGCATGAACTTGCCCCCAGACAAGGTCCAGCTACTAAGCCAGTATGACAACGAGAAGAAGTGGGAGCTCATCTGTGACCAGGTGGGTACCAGGATGGCTCAGCTACCCCTTTCCTCCTGCTGCCCTGGTGTCCTGCCTTGACACCACCCCCTGTCCTGGTGCTGGCAGGAGAGGGACACTGTCATAATGCCCATGGGCTGAGACCTACCCAGAGGCCAGTGCAGCATCTGGGGTGGGGAGGGTGCTAGTCTGTCTGCAGGACTCTGGAGTCCCCTTCTCTTGGTCATGGGCCCCCCAGAGGCCTTATAGATCATGAGCTGGCAGGGCTGGCCCCTGGTGGGTGGAGAGGAACGGACTGGACTGGCCCCCTCCATCGCTCCACAGCCACTGGTTCACACCCCTGGCCTGCTGGTGGAGGGTCTGGACTGGCCCCCTCCATGGCTCACTCTTCCCTGCCACCTGCTCAGGCTGTGGTCTGCACCCGCTCCCAGGACGGGTGGGGCCTGGCTGCTGTGGGATTCAAGGAAGAAGGGAGGTGGGGCACTGCCTCTGAGACTGAAGCTGTGGAAGCTGGTGCTGGGAGATTGGGGGGCTGGAAGCCTCCCCTGGGAGCCAGGGCTGGGCCTTTGCCTCCTGCTAATGGACCGGTCTGGCAGGAGCTGGCTGGGCAGCAGCTGAGGGAGAAGGGAGGGGTTGGGCTGTGGGAAGAGGGTGGGGAGCCACCCCTAGAGGCTCTGGGGATGTTATAGGGGTCCCTGCCAAAGGGGCATAGTGTGACATCTCAGAGGCTGGGGGCTCAGAGGCCTAGGAGAAGTGAAAGGCCAAGGGGATGGCCTGGTGCATTTGAGGGGTCTAGGTTGGGAATAGGGGAGCCCCTCTGGGCAGGGGCCCCTGCTGTGGTCCCTGCCTCTCTCTGTGAGAGGTGGGGCAGGGGCATTAGGAGTTGCCAGATGAGCACAAGTGCTTACCAACAGATGAGCAGCACAGCTGGGCGTGGAGTCCTGGGGAAGGGGCCTCAGCCTGCCTAGGAGGCACTGGGACTCCTTTTCACAGCTCTCTCCAGGGTGTTCTTCTCCCTGTACTCCCAGCTCTGGTCCTGGGAGGGTGCTGCCTGCTGCCAGACGGAGCCCACAGGGCCAGGCATGTGACAGGACTGACCATCTTCCCTAGCAGCACCAGGGGTGTGGCCAGAGGCCATAATGGGAAGGGTGGGCTGAGCCCAGGGCTAGGGTCTTTTACAGCAGCCCACTGGATTGTTTGGGTTTATGCTTTTGGTATTTCAGAGGTGTCTTAAGATAGCCTGTGTCCCCAGTTCAGATCTGAGTGGGATGAGGGCGGGTCATTTGCCCTGGGATAGCTCTGGCTGGTCCCCTGTACACCTCATTCTCTCTCCCTAGGAGAGGTTTCAAGTCAAGAACCCCCCTGCAGCCTACATCCAAAAGCTGAAGAGCTACCTGGATACTGGTGGGGTCAGCCGAAAGGTAGCAGCTGATTGGATGTCCAACCTGGGGGTACATGTCTCCCCTCTTTATTCTGTCTCTTTCCAAGCTCTGAGCTGCTGGAGTAACTGTGTATGTAAACTTTTCTGTGGCCTTATGTGTGTGTTATAGGGACTGACAGTGCCCTGGACTCTCACTTTCACAGCTTTTACACTTGTGCACTTTTACAGCTTCCTCTGTATATCCTGTGTGTGCTTACATGGATACGCTCGTGTGTACTTGTACTGTGTGCACCTGTGTGAACCCATGTGTCCATGCACAGATGTGTGTGTACTTTGAGTTCATTTGTGGATGTGTGTTTGTGTGTACCTTTGAATCTATGTATAGGGGAGTGTGCATGTATGTGTGTGTGCCCCGTACATCCATATATGGATGTGTGGATAACCTACATCTGCATACCTGGGGTACTTGTGTATAGGTGTATTTGTGTGTGTATTTGTTTGTGTACTCAAGATGTTCATGTTTGGACATGTGTGTACCCTGTGTGCCCATATATGGATGTGTATGTGTGTGTGTGTACGCTCTGTATATCTGTGTATGTGCATGTGTACCCTTCATCTTTGTGTGTGTGTAGTTACATTGCCTGTGTTTAGGGGTGTGTGTGCACCCTGTGTATCTGTGTAAGGGAGCACATGTCACCTGTGAGTACTTATTCTGTGGCACAGGTGTGTGGAAGTGGGGGGGGCTGAACATGAAAGGCCACACATGTCAGTGGGGAGGGAACACTGCTGCCTGCTGCCTCACGATTTGGCTGGTCTGTTCCTGTGGGAGACTGCTCCTACCCACCAGACTTCCCTGTTCTTGGCCCCCAGTTTAAGAGGCGAGTTCAAGAGTCCACGCAGGTGCTTCGGGAGCTGGAGACATCCCTGAGGACAAATCACATTGGGTGAGTGAGGGCTCAGATTACCCTCTCTGAGCCTAGGAAGGCTCTGCTTCCTCCAGGCAGCCCCTGGAACTTTCCCTTCCTTCTGCTCCTACCAGCAGCACAGAGGTGTGCCTGTGGGCCACCTCCTGGGGGTGTCCTGGGCAGCTTCCCCTCCCCCTCTCCTGCCTATCCTTTGGCCTGAACCTTGAGGCATGGCTTGACAGTGAATCCTGCCAGAGTCCCCCAATCTCCCCTAGCATCACTGGGTCTTCTGGGATTGGAAGGGCACTGCAGAGGCCCTTGGGTGCCTGTTCTGTGTTCACTCAGGGTGGTACCTCCTTTCTGGCTGGAACTCAGGGAGCCTTGTGCCCTGCAGGTGGGTGCAGGAATTTCTCAATGAAGAGAACCGTGGCCTGGATGTGCTCCTCGAGTACCTGGCCTTCGCCCAGTGCTCTGTCACGTAAGTCACCTGCCGCCAGCTCTCAGGCTGCTCCTTAGAGTCTTGTCTCCTGCCTCCCTGTGTCTTGCCTACTCCTCTGGCCATTTCCAATTAGTGCAGCTTGAGCCCACCCTGGACCCCTGCACTCGGCCCTGATCCATACTCCTTCTTGAAGGCTTACCCTGGTGTTCTTTCTCCTGCCACTGTGCTCAGCACATCACTGAGAACAAAGCCTCCTTTCCCCTCTTCCTAGTCTCTCCTGTAGATCTTTCCCTGCAGTTTCCTCTGTGCCCCTCTAAGTTCCCCCACAGGGTTGACCTCCGGCCCCATTGCATCCCATCCTAGGTATGACATGGAGAACACAGACAATGGGGCTTCCAATTCAGAGAAGAACAAACCACTAGAGCAGTCGGTGGAAGATCTCAGCAAGGGTCCACCTGCATCCATGCCCAAAAGTCGCCACCTGACCATCAAGTATGTGGCCCAAAGGCAGGGTGATGGGAAAACAGAGAATTCAGCCCCCACTTTGTGGCATCTAGCCAGCTCTTCCAGGGCCTATGGGGTTGGGGGGAGGGAGATCAGTAAGGGCTTCATACAAGACTCAGGATACCAACACATTAAGAAGCCTTTGGGGTGGGTACCTATCTGGGTGGGTCTGGGATTAGGAGGGGGTTCTGGATCAATGGGAATCTTCTTGTACCCATCTAATCCCCTGTTTTCTCCTGTGCGGCCTCCAGGTGCCCCCCTTCTCCCCGGTACGTAGCCACCTAGGGGCAGGTGCATGTCTGGCTGATTCTCTGGGGTGGTGGTGGAATGAGGTGTTCAACTTATGACTGTGGGTTTAGCTGCTCCGGATAGGTCCCCCATCTTAATATGGGGCATCTTGCTGGAAGGCAGGGAGAAAGAAATACATGACTCTAGAACATGTGGATCCCAGCTTGCCACTTGGAGTTAAGGGGACCATTTGCATATTAACCCCCAAATTCTCAGAATATGTTTTTTGGTTCATTCATGCATTATTCTTTCAACAAACATTGTATTTACACTTACTATGTATTAGGCGTGTGGCAGGGGCGTAGAAGACAGATCACCTTGCCCCCAGGGGTCCACAATCTAGTGGGGGACAATTTAGTGTGACAGGCTGCCATAGAGATGTGACTAGGAGCTCTGGGAACAGAGGTGGCCACTGCCTATCTATCTTACGGGCTTTATAGGCAGCAATGGGGGCAGTGAAGGACATTCCTAGAGGAAGGGGCGCATGAACAAAGACTCCAGCATATTTGTGCAAGGATGAGGAAGGCAGGCAGAGGGAGGACTGGCTGGGTGGAGGCGGGGCCTCCCAGTGTTGTTGGAAATGCAATAGAATTGTCAAGAGGACCAACATGTGGAAGTCATGGTTGGCAGTTCTGCAACAATGAAAACATCACATGTTTTTTGGCAAAGAATAATTGAGCACACTTATACAGCACTTACTAGGTGCCAGGCACTGTTCTAAGCTCATTTCATAGTCCCAAAAACCCTAACAGGAAGGCACTATTATTACCATTCCTATTTTACAAATGAAGAAAGTGAGTCACAGGGAGATTGAGTAACTCATTGAGTAAACCGGCAGCTGGGATGTTCTCAACCATGGCAGTCTAAATTCAGAAATCTGCCTCCCTCGAGGGAGGGTGGACCCAAGTGTCCGTGAGCGCCACCTAGTGGAAGTCCTTTCCAAGCTTTGGCTCTTTTCCCTCTGGGTTGTGCACCCAACCAAGTTGCTCTTAAGGGTATTTGCTTCCATCACTCTCCTCTCCACCTCCCACAACATGCCAGTCCTCAGAGAAATCCTGTCTGCCCTCAGCTGGCCTCTTTGGTGGGGTAGAAGGGAAGAAGTGGCCTAAGGTTCTAGATATGTCCCCCCCTCCCTTTTTTTCTTTTGTAGTTTTTGGCCAGGACCAGGTTTGAACCTGCCACCTCCGGTATATGGGGCTGGTGCCCTACTCCTTTGAGCCACAGGCACCACCATCCCCCTTCCCTTTTTTAGATAGAGTTTCATGCTGTCACCCTGGGTAGAGTGCCGTGGTGTCATCATAGGTCACAGCAACCTCAAACTCTTGAGTACAAGTGATGCTCCTGCCTCAGCCTCCCGAGAAGCTGGGACTACAGGCCTGCACTACCATGCCTGGCTAGTTTTTCTATTTTTAGTAGAGACAGGGTCTCGCTCTTGCTCAGGCTGGTCTTGAACTCCTGAGCTCAAGCAATCCTGGCTCAGCCTCCCAGAGTTCTAGCATTACAGGTGTGAGCCACCATGCTGGGCCTAGATGTGCCCCCTCTTACCCCAGAGGCCATCTGAGTGGTGGAGGAAATGGGGAGCTGGGGCGTGGGACTCTGACCCCTGTTGCCTCCTCCACACCCTACCCAGGCTGACCCCGGCCCACAGCAGGAAGGCCTTGCGAAATTCCCGCATTGTCAGCCAGAAGGACGATGTCCACGTCTGCATCATGTGCTTGCGTGCCATCATGAATTACCAGGTCAGCCAGTGGGCATGGGATTGGGGGACACAGGGAGCAAGGCTTGTGATCACTGGGGGCTATACAAGCTGCTGAGGTTCTGTGACCAACTGTTTCTCCATCCTGTTCCCATTCAGGAACCCTGAGCTCAGGCTCAAGCTGATGAGTCTTGGGGCAAAGCCCATAGTTTTGCTGCCTACTCATCAGGTCCCCTTGAATGCCCCCGGACATGCCTTGGGCATGGATGTTCCTCACACAGGGACTTAGACACACTTACCAAGAAAGGCTGGATAGGGAGACCACAGGAGAACAGCCTCTGGGTTATTTTCTTTGGAGGGCTGATTGGGGAAGCTGGATCCTCCCACTCTTAGCCTGCCTTTAAGGACTCACTCTAAGTTACCTGACACTGGCTTTTGAGAAAACAAAGATATTTAAAAAGATGGACAGGGCTAGGCTTTGGCTGCCACAGAAGAGGTTGTGGTTGAATATGAAGAACTTCCTAAATTCAAGGGCAGTTAGAGATTAGAATGGCATGGCACACACTGACTATACTGGAGGTGCTAGGCAGGGATGCTGGCAGCCTTGGGAGCCTGCCTGGAGGCACTGACCTCTCCTCTTTCTTCAGTCTGGCTTCAGCCTTGTCATGAACCACCCAGCCTGTGTCAACGAGATTGCTCTGAGCCTCAACAACAAGAACCCCAGGTGAAGTCCACACATCTAACCTTTCTTGACATTTAGAGCCTTCTCCTACTTAACCCTTGTCTACTCTGTTTCCCAATTATCAGGACTATTGCCCAGGCTCATTGTACCCCCATCGTCAGCTCCCTAGTCCTTGTCCTACCCAGGCCCCATCTCCCCTTGCTGTGAGGCCTGCCTATTCTCAAGGGACAACATACCCCTTCTCTTACCAGAACAAAGGCTCTGGTGCTGGAGCTGCTGGCAGCTGTGTGCCTGGTTCGGGGAGGACATGACATCATCCTTGCAGCCTTTGACAACTTCAAGGAGGTACCAGAACCCCTCACTGAAACCTATACTTGCCTCTATGATATTGATTGGAGTCCTGTTGCTGGCACTTGTGGCCTCTGCTGGAGGTAGTTTGGGACATTGGGTGGGCTTTTGGGGAGCTCAGAGGACAATCTGGGGTGGGGAAGTTCTGAAAGGAAGGTGCAGGGTCAGATAGGGGCACTGCCTGGGGTATCAGGGGCAACTCAGGGATCTGCTGAAACTCTGACTTTCAGCCTTGCCAGATCCAGAGTGGACTTGATCTACACAGCCTGGGTTTGCTCACTCTGGTTAACAGGCTTGCAAGAAGTAGATATGTGGGAATATAATGGGTATGTTTATTTATTCCTTTAATGAATATTTATTGAGTGCCTACCACAGGCACAGGACTGGGCACTTGGGACATAGCCATGAACAAAAGAGAGAAAGACAAAATAAAAAATACAATAAATGGATGGATTACATAGTGTGTTAGGAAATGGTAAAATAAGTAAGGGATGCTATAGGGGAGAGGGAACTGATTGCAGGGTGGTCAGGAAGGCTGCATTGAGCAGGTGGGATTTGAACAAAGCTTTGAGAACCTGGCACTAGGTGTGGGAGTGAGAGCTTGCTGGGAAGTTGGAATAGCAAGTGCAAAAGCCCTGAAGGGGGGTTGTGTGCCAGGATGTCAGTGTGGGCAAAGTGGAGGAAGTGAGGGGGAAGGTTGTGGGTAGAGAGGAGGGGGAGTAGAGATTTTCAGCAGAAGAGTGACACGGCTTGACTTAGATTTAACTGCAGAGGAGCCCATAGAGAGGCATAAGAAGATGACTTAGGGCCGGGCATGGTGGCTCACGCCTGTAATCCTAGTACTCTGGGAGGCTGAGGCAGGCAATTGCTTGAGCTCAGGAGTTTGAGACCAGCCTGAGAAGGAATGAGATGCCCTGTCTCAAATAAAATAGAAAAATTAGCTGGGTGTGGTAGTGGCAGTGTATAGTCCCAGCTACTTGGGAAGCTGAGGCTTGAGGATTGCTTGAGCCTGCGTTTGCGGTTGCTATTAGCTATGATGACACCACAGCACTCAGCCCCAGAGCAACAAAGTGAGACTCAAAAAAAAAAAAAAAAAAAAAGATGGCTTAGGAGGTGTGTCACTGGGGCCTCATTGAGAGCCATTCCCCCTCTACCCAGGTGTGTGGGGAACAGCACCGCTTTGAAAAGCTGATGGAATATTTCCGGAATGAGGACAGCAACATCGACTTCATGGTGAGTTTGGGAGCCCAGCAGGCTGAGGCTAGGTCCTGTTGCATGCAGGGAGCAGTTGGAGGCCTGGGTGTCTGGCCCTGGGTTCTGCCCCAGCAAAGTGTGAGGACTGGAGTGGTCAGTGGAGGAAGGGCAGATGTCAGCGGCAGGCTAGATTGAGGGGCCATGGTGGTGAAATACTGGTGGGAATAAAGCTAGGTTGGGGGACTGAGAACTGTGGAGAGCGAGGGAGACTTAGAGGTAAATGGTGAGTAGAAGGCACTGAGTACCCCCACCTAGAGGAACATAGGCCTGCTTCTGTCCCTGGCCCCCAGGTGGCCTGCATGCAATTCATCAACATCGTGGTACACTCAGTAGAGAACATGAACTTCCGTGTCTTCCTGCAATATGAGTTCACCCACCTGGGCCTGGACCTGTACTTGGAGGTGAGCCCTGGACTGTCTCAGACCTAACCACATGCCCACTGCAGAGTATGACTGAGAAGTTAGCAGCATAGATGTTGGGGTTGGCAGGCCTGGGTTCAAATTCTGGCTCTGCTACTTCCTAGCCATGTGACCTTGGATATGTCTCTTCCCTGATTTTCAGTTTACCATCTGTCAAACAGGAGAATCATAGAAGATAATAATAATGACTCTAAATGTATAGAACAGTGCCTGGCACATAACAGGCTCCCAGTCCATGGAGCTGTTTTGGCATGTGCTAGACCAGACTCAAGGTTGCCCTTGGGAATGCCTCCCTTCTAATTGGAGCCCAGAGACACTGGGTAGAAGTAGGTGCTGGCTTCTGGTGGATGTGTCTAGGTCATGGAGGAGCTCCCTGCCCTGGGGAAGGTGGGCAGAGCAGCTTAGTGCTTCCTGGCCTAGCCTGAGCAGAGAAACTTCAGCTCCTACCCCATTCCTTTGGGAGGTTTCCTGGAGGAGTAGGGCATTTGGACTGGGTTTTTGAAAGCCAGAATTAATAAAGGGTAGAGAATAGGCTAGGGTGGTATACCATAAAATGGAATATTATTTAACTATAAAAAGGAGTGAAGTACTGATTTGTGCTACAGCATGGCTGAGCTTTGAAGACATTATGCTGAGTGAAGCATACAATCACATGTTATATGATTCTTTTGTATGAAATGTCTAGAATGGGTAAATCCTATACTTGGAGGTGAGCCCTGCACTCCCCTAGACTTAACCACTGTCTAGAGACAGAAAGTAGATTAGTGGTTGTCAGGGACTGGGGGAGGAGATAAAGGGGAGTGCCTGGTAATGGGTATAGGGTTTTTTTTTGGGGGGGGTGCTAAAAATGTTCTAGAATTAGTGATGGTTGCACAACCTCATGAATGTACTAACAACTACTGAATTACATACTTTAAAACAGTGAATTCTATGGTATGTAAATGGTATCTCAATAAAAAATTTAAAAAGCAGGCTAGGCTTAGGCCTCTTCTTCTGGATCCCAGTGGTAGTGGGGGTTGCAGAGATGCTCCCTCCCCCATCGGGGTGTCACCCTGCTCCTTCCTTCTGGAGAACAGAGGCTCCGCCTGACTGAGAGCGACAAGCTGCAGGTGCAGATCCAGGCATACCTGGACAATGTCTTTGACGTGGGCGCCCTGTTGGAGGACACCGAGACCAAGAATGCTGTGCTGGAACACATGGAAGAGCTGCAGGAGCAGGTGACGCTGGTGAGAGCTGGTCCCAACCCCCCCCCCCCAACAGGCCCAGGGGACACTGGGAGGGCAAGGCACTGGGCTACAGATATCATTCTAGATGTGAGCTGGAGGTGACTGTCAGCATGACCCCTGAGTTTGGCCTAAATCCAAATTCTGAATCCTTTGTGTCCTTCTCAATCAATGTTCCTGAGCTCCCTCGCCGTGCGGGACCCAGGGGGAAAGACAGCCCCCTCCATGGCTCAGACTCCAGGCTTGGCCTGGGTGAATGGGGAGTCCAGGGCCCCTCCCAGCTCATCTCCTCCCCTCCGCCCACCTTCCCCGTCAGTGGTGCCCAGGTTTCCCCTGCTCATTTGCTTGTGTTCGCGTGCCGGCTCGGCCTACCCTTGGCACCCTGGGCTGAGCGGATCTGGGAGCCTCCTCCAGTCCTTCAGGCAGGCAGCCTGATGCCGCCCCCTCACCGGCGGTGCCAGTGCCCGGCCGCGGGTGGTAGCTCACCATGTGCGGGTGCCACAGCTGACAGAGCGGCTTCGGGACGCGGAGAACGAATCCATGGCCAAGATCGCGGAACTGGAAAAACAGCTGAGCCAGGCTCGCAAGGAGTTGGAGACCCTGCGGGTGAGGCTGAGGGGAAAGGGCTGGGCCGGGGGAGGGCAGGGTTCTCAAGAACTGGCCGGGTGGAGCTTCTAGGTTAGACTTCTTTCTCCACCCCGAGAAGAGGATGGGGGCTCTGCGTCAGGGAGCCTGATGGTAGGCACTGACCCCTCCCCTGGGGCTCTCAGGAGCGCTTCAGCGAATCGACCGCCGTGGGTGCCTCCAGACTTGCCCCGGAGCTTGAGAAAGTGCCTCCCCCGGCCCCGGCTCGGCCCTCCGCCCTGGAGCTCAAGGTGGAGGAGCTGGAGGAGAAGGGGTTAATCCGTATCCTGCGGGGGCCCGGGGATGCGGTCTCCATCGAGATCCTCTCGGTCGCTGTGGCAACTCCGAGCGGGAGTGATGCTCCAACTCCGGGGGTGTTCGCTGGCTCCCCCAGCCCAGGTGCGTTCAGCTGGGAGACCAGGATCTGGGTTTGGAGGGGAAACCTGGGGGCATCAGCGTGGGGAGAGGTAGACTTGGGTTATGGGCGTGGCTCAAGTAGGGACGCATGCGTATGGCGGGGAGGAGGAGACCACCCAAGCCGAGAAGTTAACCCACCCCTTTCCCCCTCCACCCTGGCTGGACTCAGGTATCCCACCTGCAGCAGAGTGGGTCCCTGGAGCCGCACCACCGCCGCCGCCGCCACCTCCACCGCCCCCACTCCCCTCCCAGCAGGAAGCCCCGTCCCTGGCACCCCCACCGGCTCCTCCCCTCCCAGGAAGTCCAGAGCCCCCACCCGCGCCACCGCTGCCCGGAGAACTGCCGCCCCCGCCTCCGCCACCACCGCCGCCTGGTACTGATGGGCCAGTGCCTCCACCGCCCCCGCCGCCTCCGGGAGGTCCCCCTGATGCCCTTGGAGGGCCCGGGCAAGAGTTGGGCCCAGGTGAGTGGAGTGGACCACCTCGGGCCCAGGGCTGAAGGAAGATAGAGGGAGAGGCACTTCTGTGTCCTCTGGGACCCTCTGTCTGGGGGTTTTCTCCTGCAGCCTGCTGGCACTGTCATGCTCGCTGGGGCCCGGTCCTCACCAATCCCTCCCTGTCCCAGGAGTGAAGGCCAAGAAACCCATCCAGACCAAGTTCCGAATGCCACTCTTGAACTGGGTGGCCCTGAAACCCAGTCAGATCACTGGTACTGTCTTCACAGAACTCAATGATGAGAAGGTGCTGCAGGTGAGTGTGTCCCGGTATAAGCACCAGAGGATTGGGGACTTGCCTGATCATGCTGGGCACTGGGGGTGGTCATCTCTCTCCATTTCTCAGGTGAGGAATGGAGGCCCAGGGATGGACATTAAGCCAAACTGGGTTGGTGTGTCCAGTAGGCAGTATCCTGACTTCTCTAAGCCTTCCCCTTCCCCTCCCTCCCTGGAGAGGGACACAGACCTCCAGAGCCTCCACCCTCCTGACTACATTTTCAGTTTTCCTGGCTCACACTTTCCTTCTGCCTGCAATGCTCTTTCCTTTCTCCTTTCTACTTCTAGCAGGTTCAGCATTTCCTTCAGGTTTGGTGGCCCCAGTTATGAGTCCCCTAAGATTGGATGGTTGTCATCATTGTCATTGCCCTCCTTCTCCTCCCTGTGTTTCTCCTGTATCTCTCATCAGAGCCTGTGGTCAAGCTTGGTCACTGGTTTGTGTCTCTGCTGGTGGCCTGGTCAGTGGCTCTGGCCTCAGATCACAATGCTTAGCCAGGAGTGTGCCAATCCTCAGCCCCACCCAGCCCCACCTCCTCTCTCTGCATCCTTAGGAGCTGGACATGAGTGACTTTGAGGAGCAGTTCAAGACCAAGTCCCAAGGCCCCAGCCTGGACCTCAATGCTCTCAAGAGTAAGGCAGCCCAGAAGGCCCCCAGCAAGGCAACACTCATTGAGGCCAACAGGGCCAAGAACCTGGCCATCACCCTGCGCAAGGGCAACTTGGGAGCTGACCGCATCTGCCAGGCCATTGAGGTGTGAGTATCCCTGTCCTAGGCTTGTGGGTAAGCCAGTGCTTCTGCTAGGTTGGGGTTATCATGTAGATCTTAGTACACAGCCTAACTGTGGACTCTTCATCAAGCTTCATACCAAGCCTGGTCCAGGAACCTTGTCCCCATTTTCAGGCTGAGAAAACTGAGGCCTTACTCTAAGTCCATGCCCCAACTAATATGACCCTACTTCCTTCTTGCCTCTTTGCCCAGCTGTGGGCACTCAGGTTGAGGGATTTACACAGCTGGGCATCTGCCACCAATATATGATGGGTTTCTCAGCTCCCAATTTCTCTTGACTCCTGTCTCCTATTCTCTGATGTGATCGACAAATAGAAAATATTGAATTTATTCAGTCAGGGGAGGGGAGGAGCCCTGTTCTCAGGGACCAGTGGGTATGAATGAGACCCACTTTCTCCTCCCTTTCCCCACACAGGTACGACCTGCAGGCACTAGGCCTGGACTTCCTGGAGCTATTGACTCGCTTCCTGCCCACGGAGTATGAGCGCAGCCTCATTGCCCGCTTTGAGCGAGAGCAGAGGCCAGAGGAGGAGCTGTCAGAGGAGGACCGCTTCATGCTGCGTTTCAGCCGCATCCCGCGCCTGCCGGAGCGCATGGCCACGCTCACCTTCCTGGGCAACTTCCCTGACACAGTCCAGCTGCTCATGCCGGTGTGGGCGGGGCAGGCAGGGTGGTGTGGCCTGGGCTGGGTAAGGGGAGGCAGGAGCCTGGGCTCAGCAGGCTTCTTGGGGTAATTGAGCTTCCTCATGGGAGAGACCCTAACTTACCTTACCTCCTCCATCTCACCCCTAGCAACTGAATGCCATCATTGCAGCCTCAATGTCCATCAAGTCCTCAGACAAACTCCGCCAGATTTTGGAGGTGAGAGCCCAGGGCAAGGTTCAGGAGGTGGGGCCTGCCCTTGCCTGTTCTGGGTAGTGTGAGAGGGAGACCCAGGTCCTGTTTACCTATAATGCAACAAAGGTAATGTTCCCACTTCTCACATACATGCTTAGAAGGACAAGGCTGAGGTGGAGATGGGGGTAAGAATCAGCTACTACATCCATGTCTATTAACAACTCACCTGAGATCCTGTGTGAAGGCTCAGCCCCTTGGGGATTGCTCTTTGAGTGGCATAGCAACCACACTTGCTCAGTGGAGCATTTAGGAACCAGTGGAAATGGCTGTTAGAAAGACAGTGACCTCACAGTCTAGGAGGGGATGTTGGCAACAGTTTGGGGTGTCACTAATAGGACAAAACCTTGTGTGCCTATGTTGTTAACTGTGCGTATATGTGAGACATATACACATGTTGTGGATGTAAGGTGTCCATGCAGGACTATGGGGGCTGAGTGTATGGAGCTTGCTTTTTGGCACCTTTTCTCCTTTTGCAATGGAGTCTCTCTCCTCGGCTTCTCCCAGATTGTCCTGGCCTTTGGCAACTACATGAACAGCAGCAAGCGTGGAGCAGCCTATGGCTTCCGGCTCCAGAGCCTGGATTCGGTGAGGAGGGGCCCCTGGCCTGGGGGCTGAGGGCTGGCTGGTGGCCTGTGGCTAACAATAGGTCCTTGTGCAGCTGTTGGAGATGAAGTCGACTGATCGCAAGCAGACGCTGCTGCACTACCTGGTGAAGGTCATTGCTGAGAAGTACCCGCAGCTCACAGGCTTCTACAGTGACCTGCACTTCCTGGACAAGGCGGGTTCAGGTGTGGGGTGTCTAGGTCCCTGAGTGAGTTGTTGTGGGGAGAGATTCAGGACTAGGCTGGTGTGGTTTGTAGAAAAGCAAGAGGACCACAGGATGTAACTTGGTGGGACTGACTCTATACTGCCCCACCCCCACCCAGTGTCCCTGGACAGTGTCTTGGGTGATGTGCGCTCTCTGCAGCGAGGCCTGGAGTTGACACAGCGGGAGTTTGTGCGGCAGGATGACTGTGTGGTGCTCAAAGAGTTCTTGAGGGCCAATTCACCCACCATGGACAAGCTACTAGTAGACAGCAAGACTGCTCAGGTGGGCTGAGGCTGGGCTGGGGGATGAAGTACTTGCCCTTGGAATACTAGGTGGGGGCGTATAGCCAAACTTTGAGGGGTATAGCCACAGCTGGGATTCTTTGGGGGGATGGAGTAGGAGTAAGGGGCCACTCTGTCTGGAGGAGCAGAGATGGAATGGCCACTGTCCTGAGGGGTATAGGCTGGAAGGGGTCTGTGTGTGAGGCTGATACTCCGTGTCTGCAGGAGGCTTACGAGTCTGTGGTGGAGTACTTTGGAGAGAACCCCAAGACCACATCCCCGAACCTGTTCTTTTCCTTCTTTAGCCGCTTCATCAAGGCCTATAAGGTATGTGTATTGGGGGAGAGCTGGGAGCCCTGGAGGACACTGAAGACTCCTCACTGGGCAGTGGAGGGGTCAGGATGGAGAAATAGGAAGGGCAGCCCTCATGGAGACTCCCTTGGCACTCAGAAAGCTGAGCAGGAGGTGGAACAGTGGAAGAAAGAAGCAGCTGCCCAGGAGGCAGGCACTGACACCACCAGCAAAGGGGAGTCCTCTGCACCCAAGGTAGGCAGCTGCCCCTGAACTTGGTCCTGGGATGTGGATTCATGGTATCCTCATTGCCCACACCCTCACTGTTACTGGGTGGGATGGGAATGGGTTCCTTCTGCTCAAGTCAGCTGTCTGTGCTGTGGGAGACCGGGCAGATGTTCTAGGGTTTGCTGGGGTGGGGGAAATCCTGGAGCTGGAGTTATTCATGTCCCTCTAGTCCCCACCCAAGGCTCGGCGACAACAGATGGACCTTATCTCTGAGCTGAAACGGAAGCAACAGAAGGAGCCACTCATCTATGAGAGTGACCGTGACGGGGCCATTGAAGACATCATCACAGGTGAGGGCTTGGCCAAGCCTTGATTTTGTCTTCAATCTGTTCTTCTATGCTGTCCTCTGTCCATATCCTGTGCCCCCTGGGGGTCTGGCTGCCTTACTGTCTCTTGCTACCTTTTCTGTTTTTCTTTCCTTTTTCCTTTCTCTGCCCCCCTCCACCTACTACCCTCAGTGCTCAAGACAGTGCCCTTCACCGCCCGCACTGGCAAGCGGACATCCCGGCTCCTCTGTGAGGCCAGCCTGGGAGAGGAGATACCCCTCTAACCCCCCAGGTACCTGGATGGCCTGGCCTCTGATTTTGCCCTGTCCACAGCCCTGGGACCCTTGGGGGGACTGGGTCGTGCTGCCCTCTCCTAGGCCAGTGCATAGCTGGGATGTGTTTCACTGGGGTCTGGCAAACAGTGCTTTCTCCACATGCACACAACCCAGGTCCTTAGATGGGTGAGCTTGTGCCCTGGAGCCAAGGTGCCAGCTCTGGGCAGACTTCTGAAGGGTAAATGTATCTTCTTTGGCTGTCAGATCTGCGGAACCAGCCGTACATCCGTGCAGACACAGGCCGCCGCAGTGCCCGCCGGCGTCCCCCGGGCCCCCCGCTGCAGGTCACCTCTGACCTCTCGCTGTAGCTGCTACATCCACAGGTGGATTTTGCAGGGCAGGATGCCGCCCTGGGCAGGCTAGGGCTCAAGGAAGGTGGTCCTGAGCTCGGCTGGGCCGGGCAGCCCCCTCCTCCACTGTCCCCACCCTGGGCCCGCCTCAGATGGCCCAGCGCACCATTCTCTTGCCACAGAGATCAACAATGCTGGTCCCTCGCCCCAGATGCTGCTCACAGCACTCCCCTTCTCCCCTCCAAATAGCCATAGTTAGTCTCAGCAGGAGCCTGGCCTGTAACTTATAAAGTGCACCTCATCCTCCCAACTCCCAGACCCGAGGACTCTCCAAGGACCTTATTTTTATACGAGATTAATAAAGACGTTTGCAAAAGATCCGCGTCCGCTCCGTGCCCGCCCCCACCACGCGCAGCCGGTTTCGTTAAGCAAACGCTTTACTTGTGCCAGCTCTTCATAGCAGGTCTCTGCGAACAGGCTGGCGAAGGGGAGAAGGGATGCTTCTGCACTAGAGTTGTGGGGGAAGGAGCCTGCTTCCAGCGGCGCACGTGCTCTGACGGCCGGCCAGCGAACCCTGCGGGAAGGCTCCACTTCAGGCGGCCTCCCGCCCCGTTTGAGCCGGTCCAGCCTCCTACCCCACTACCTAGCACAATTCCCACTTACGCCGAAAGCGCTCAGCACGTCCCACGTGGGTCCACCGCGTCGGGATTTCTTTCCTTTCCCTTTGCAGCATTCTGTTGCCGGCTCCCGCCCGAAGGCCACGCCCCATCCGCCCCGCCCCCCAGTTGGCCACGCCCTTATCTGCATGTTCCACCCTCCAGCCCTCACCTTGGTTGGTCCGCCCCACGCTGGGCGGGCGCTTGGGCTCGCCTGGCTTGGGGAGCCGGACGTCGGGGCCTGGGGCTCTGCCCCGCGTCCTGCGTTCTGATGGTGTCCGTCCTTCCAGGTTCGGTATCTGAGAATAGGGGCTGCGCACATCTGGGGAGGGCACCGGGGAGGAGGTAGTCCTGAGAGTAGGTCCTGGGGACCCAGAGGCGGGGATGGGCATTTTGTGTGACTGGAGGAAATCCCCGCCCAGCGTTCCTGGCCTCGACCCCCGCCCAGCCGGGGGCACACCCGCTTTGTTCAGCCTGTGCAGCGAGCGCGACAGCTGGGAGCTGGAGAGGCCACCGACGCGTGCGGCCTGGCAGAAGAAGGTGAGGCCCGCGTGGGCACGCGCAGAGTGGCCATGGCCGCGGGACCGGCCCCTCCAGTCTGGGCCCAACCGCAAAGCCTGCTGCTTCTTGAAGTAGTAACTTGGAGGAGAAAGATGAGGTGGCCGCCTCAGACAGAGCCGCTCCAGTCCTCTCCATCTCGCAAATGGAGAAAACCAAAGGACAAGGAGCCATTTTTTTTTAACCTGGGGTCGGTTAGGACCCAGGAAACTGACTCAGAATTCAGAGAGCTCCTCCCTGCGGCAGGAACATCAGGGGTTCTGTACCCGGCGGGTCTGCACCTCCCATCCAGGGCCCCGGAGCTGGTATGGCTGTGCCCACCTCGTCAACTCCTGCACTGACTTGGAGGGCACAAAGCCTTGGCGCAGCAGCTTGAACAGCATCTCTAAGAACAGGGTCTGCAGGCCCTGGGGGTCACCGACGCAGCTGTTCCTCACCTGGCCTGGGAGCAGGAAACATGGGGGAAAGTGAGGAGAGGCCACCCCCAGGCCAGGCCCCCAGCTGCCCATCAGCCTCACCCATGCACTGAGCCAAGAGCTGGTTGTCAGTAAGCACACCCAGGAAGTCTTTGAAGCTCACAATTCCATCACCTGGGAAGAAAGAGAGGTGGGGGTGCTATGGATACCTGCCCCCAGAGAAGGCATGCCCTGTACATGCTGGACTTGCTAGCAGTTTCAGGTGTTAAAAGAGAATCTAGATCTGGCTCTAGCCAAGGGTGGACCCCAGTTTGAATAAAGGAGAAATAGCCTAAGAAATAGCCTTGAGGAGCCACAAATCAGAACAAGGATTAACACAGAAGCAGTGTTTATAGGCCATGGTAGGCATGTTGATCAGGGCAGACTTCCTGGAAGAGAGAAGTTTAGGGACTTTGTGGGAAGGGATGGCATTCTTTAAGGGACTGCCCAGAGGCGGGAGAGGACAAGAGGGCAGGGATGAGGGCACCAACCATCCAAGTCTGCCCGCTGTAGAGCTTCACACATCTCCTGTGGACTCAGCTGAATACCCACATTGCGCAAGGCAACTTTCATACTGCGCATGTCCACAGCACCTGCTGGGCTGGAGCTGAACAGTTTAAAGAGATCCTGGAAGGCTGAGGGTAGAGAAGGGGGAAGGCAGCAAGGTGAACTGCCCACATGAGAATCCTGAGCACTGCCCTCTCTAGCTCACGTAGGAACGATTGGTGACTTGGGTCATTCCAACCCCCTGGATATCATAACTTTTTTTTTTTTTTTGATACAGAGTCTCAATTTTGTCACCTTGGGTAAAGTGCCTTGGTGTCACAGCAACCTCCAATTCTTGGACTCAGGTGATTCTCTTGCCTCAGCCTTCCAAGTAGCTGGGACTACAGATGTCTACCACAATGCCCAGCTATTTTTAGAGACAGGTCTCACTCTGGCTCAGGCTGGTCTTGAACTCATGAGCTCAGGCAATCCACCTGTCTCGGCTTCCCAGAGTGCTAGGATTACAGGCATGTGCCACAATGCCAGGCCATAAATTTTAATATAAAGAATAGTAGTGGCTATTGTGCTTGTTAAGTGCCTCTTCAAATCCTATGTCCAAAACTTATGTTTGTATGAAAAATATTCAAAATTCATGGCCAGGGTCACACCTGACAGTCTGGTTCTGAAGCTACAGTGCTCTGGTGCTCTGCAGCATGTAGCTGGTACCAAAAACTGTTGGCAATAAATAAAATGATTCTGCTTTGAGGGACACCTGCCAATATCAGGACATATCTTTGGGGAGTATTGGAGAAATGGTTTCTTCTGTCCTTACTGCCAACAGCCCCAGATCCCAGTGGGATGGTGGAACTCTGATTTTTCCCCCCATATTTTCTCCTTTCCCCACTCCCTTCCTTCTTTCCATCCTCTTCACTGATCTATTCATCCATCCAAATACCTTCATTCACCTATCCATGAATCCACCTAGTTTTTTCCTTCCCTTCCTCCTTTATACACCCCCCCACCCAAGTCTCTGGGGCCATGCATATTTGTGAGCCTTAGGGATAGTAGAGATAGATTAGACAAGCATGGAGGGAAGGTTACAAACACTGGATTTATGTAGTGATCCCAACCTGGGAGCAGGCAACCCCTTAGTTTTGCCCTGAGTACCCCTAATTTTCTTCCCTACTCCCAGCCCAGGGCCCTCACCTGCCAGCTGCCGGGATGTCAGGGGCAGCATGTTCTCATCTGTCAAGCTGCTATAGGAGGAAGAGGTTGGAAAGGGCTGTGCACCTGCTGCAGAGAGATGCCAGGGCCAGGCAGGCCTTACCCTGAACCCAGCACCCCAGGCCTGGCCTCCATTCTCTGTGCTCACCTCTGAGACCCGGCATCTAGGCATGACTCTGCTGATCGGTTAGCTACTGGGCCCTTGAATTCCCTTGCCCTCTGTGTTGTCTGCTCCGCCTTCCTGGCCATGGCTGCTGCTGGCTCCATCTGGGTCAGCTGGGCAGTATGCAGCCGCAGCCTCCCTTTCTGCATCCTACTGACCTGCTCCTCTTCTAGATCTCGTGTGATCAGCCTTTGAGGCTTCTGTGGAGGCCTTACAAGCAGGGAGAAAATAGGGCAGAGGAGCCCACCCCATTTAATAGCTCAGAATCGAGGGCACCTGGGACTAGTCCTATGGGTGTACAGTCCCACCTCCTCCCAGGAAACTCCACAAGAGGCTGCACCTGCAGCACTCAGGCTAGAGTATTCTGGGAGCAGGGCTGGGGCAGTAATTCCCCCCGTCCCCCACCCGGAGGGAAAGGGGCCCTCCTTCAGCCCTGATCACCTCTGTGTTCTCTGTATCAACGGGGATCTCTTGGTCTTCCGCCTTCTGCTGCCTGAAAGGCAGAGTCACAGTCCCTTAGGGCAGTCCAGTGCCCCACACTGCTTTTGCAGTGGGTTTTAATACCTTTTGCTGAGAGGCACACACTCTCCCTAACCATAGGCCCATTTATTTTCTCCCTGGCAGGGCACTTATTGCTTTCTTTTTTTGAGATCCTGCCTCCTTTCAGGCATCTGAATTTGCGACTCCACTTTGGATACTAAATCAGGATGGCAGAGGCCCAGAGGGAGAAGCAGGCCCTAGGGTCCCATAGACAGGGTAGGAGGGGAGAGTTCACCTACCATGTTTTATTTTTTAGAGATGGGGTCTTGGTGTGTTGTTTAGGTTGGTCTCAAACTTCTGGGCTCAAGTGATCCTCCTATCTCAGCCTCCCTAGTAGCTGGGACTATGAGCACATGCCATTGCAGCTGGCATTGCCTCTCACATTTAAAAACTACTCCAGGAAACCTTAACAAATTTAATATAAATCATACAATGTCTGCTCTAAGATCACAAAGGAATTAAACTAGAAATCAGTGACATAAACATAGCTGGAAAATAAGAAGATACTGAGAGATTAAACAACACACTTTTAAATAACATGGATCAAAGAAGAACTCACTAGTGAAATTTTAAAATATTTTGTTCAAAATTTGGAGGATGTGAAAACTGTGCTTAGAGGGAAATTTATAGCATTGAATACATATTTTAGAAAGATATGAAATCAATAATTTTTTTTAAACACATAATCTCACTTTGCCCCAGGTTAGAGTGCTGTAGCATCAGCTTAGGTCATGGCCACCTTAAACTTTTGGGTTCAAGTGATCCTCCTGCCTCAGCCTCCTGGGCAGCTGGGACTACAGGCCCAGCTAATTTTTCTTTTAGTGGGGAGGGAGGGTCTCACTCTTGCCCAGGCTGGTCTTGAACTCGGAGCTCAATGCCTCAGCCTCCCATAGTGCTAGGATCACACACAGAAGCCACCAACCCTGGCCCAATATATATATATATATATTTGAGACAAAGTCTCAAGCTTTTGCCCTGGGTAGAGTGGAATGGTGTCATAGCTCATAGCAACCTCCAACTCGTGGGCTCAAGCGAGCCTCTTGCCTCAGTTTTTCTATTTTTAGTAGAGACGTGGTCTCGCTTTTTGCTCAGGCTGGTCTTGACTTCATGAGCTCAAGCAATCCACCTGCCTTGGCCACCCAAAGTGCTAGGATTACAGGCATGAGCCACTGCACCCAGCCAATGATTTTTTTTTTTTTTAAGAGACAGAGTCTCACTTTGTTGCCTTCGGTAGAGTGCTGTGGCGTTGCAGCTCACAGCAACCTCCAGCTCTTGGGCTTAGGTGATTCTCTTGCCTCAGCCTCCTGAGTAGCTGGGACCACAGGCGCCCACCACAATGCCCAACTATTTTTGTTGCAGTTTGGCTGGGGCTGGGCTTGAACCCGCCACCCTCGGTATATAGGGCCGGCACCCTACTCACAGAGCCATGGGTGCGGCCCGCCAGTAATTTTTTTTTTTTAAGAGACAGGATCTTTCTCTGGTGCCCAGGCTGGAGTGCAGTGGTGAGATCATGGCTTATTGTAAACTTGTATTCCTGCTCAAGTGATCCTCCTGCCTAGGCTTGCCAAAATTTTGGAATTACAGCGTAAACCATTGCACCTGACCGAAAATCAAGAACTTAAGCTTCTACCTTAGGAAACTAGAAAAAGAAGAACAAATTTAATTCAAAGTAAGCAGAATTAAAATAATAAAAACTTGAGCAAAAATCAATGAAATTGAAAGCAGGAAATCAATAGAAAAAAATCAACAAAGCCAAAAGCTAGTTCTTTGAAAAGATCAATAAAATGAATAACATTCTACCGAGGCTAGCCAAAAAAAATGAGGAGAAAAGACACAAATTACTAATATAAAATATGAAAGAGGGGGCATTACTATAGATATCATGGACATTCAAAGGACGATAAAGGAATATTATGAATAACTCTATGCCACAAATTTGATAACCTAGCTAGATGAAATGGACCAGCTCCTCAAAAGACACAATTTGCCAAAACTCACATACAAAGAAATAGACAATATGAATAAGTCTAGATCTATTAAAGACATCGAATTAATAACTAGTAACCTTCCAAAACAGAAACCATCAGTTTTGGGCTTAGGGATGGGTTCACTGGTGAATTCTACCAAACATTAAAGGAAGAAATTATATCAACTTGCTGTAATTTCTTACAGATGATAGAAGCCAAAAGAATAAGTTCTAACTCATTCTATAAGGCCAACATTACCCTAATGCCAAAAGAGAAATGAGAAAATTATCAGAAAAGAAAACTACAGGCCAATATCTCTCATGAGTGTAGATGCAAAAATCTTCAACAAAATATTAGCAACTGAATCCAACAATGTATAAAAAAATTATACTTCATGACTGAGTGAGATTTATCCCAGGGATGAAAGGCTGATTCAACATTTGGAAATCAATTAATGTAACCTATCACATCAACTAGTTAAAGAAGAAAAACCACATAATATAAATAAATGCAGAAATAGCAGTTGACACAATTCAACACACATTCATAGTAAAAACTTTCAGCAAATTAGGAATAGAGAAGGACTTCCTCAACTTGATAAAGAACATCTACAAAAAAAAACTACAGCTAACATTGTACCTAATGGCGAGAAACTTGGGGCTTTCCTGCTGAGAACAAAAACAAGGCAGAGATGTTCCCCTCTCACAATTGTTTTTTAACATTATACTGGAAATTCTAGCAAATGCAATAAGACAAGAAAAGAAAACAAAAGGTATACAAATCGGGAAGGAAGAAATAAAACTTTGAAGATGACATGATTGTTGTCATAGGCAAAAAACCACATACAGACACAGACCTTATATCCTTCACAAAAATTAACTCAATATGGATCATAGACCCAAATGTGAAACCCCAATCTATAAAACTAGAAGATAGTGTAGGAGAAAACCTAATCAAACTTGGGTAGGGGGGTAACTTTTTAGAATCAACACTAAAGACATGATCTGTGGAAGAAATAACTCATAAGCTGGGCTTTATTACAACTACAAACTGCCTGTGAAAGACAATGTCAAGAAAATGGGAAGACAAGATATGGTCTGGGAGAAAATATTTGTAAACGACACATTTATAAAGGAGTATCATCCAAAATATACAAATACCATAAAACTCAATGGTAAGAAAATAACACAATTTAAAAAAATGGACAAAACATCTGAACAGATGTCTCACCAAAGAATATACACAAATGGAAAGTAAACATATGAAAAGGTGGTCAATATCATGTTGCTAGGGAATTACAAATTAAAATAATGATATATCACTATACTCCAATTGTATACCAAAATCCAAAACACTGGTAACACCAACTGCTAGAGAGGATATGGAGCAAAAGGAACTCTCATGCATTGCTGGTGGGAATGCTGGTGGTACAGCCACTTTGGAAGACAGTTTGGCAATTTCTTATAAAACTAAATATATCCTTACTATAGGATCCAGCAATTGTGCTTGTTGGTATTTACCCTGAATGATTTGAAAACTTATATCCACACAAAAACCTGCACATAGATGTTTATAGCAGCTTTATTCATAATTGCCCAAACTTGGAAACAACTAAGAAGTCCTCCAGCAGGTGAATGGATGAACAATGGCTCCCAGCTTCCCTATCTACACCTGTGCCCATACTCCCACCCCAAATTTTCTTCCCTCCTTTGCTACCATCTCTCCTGTGCCAGAACAAACTGTGGTATGCCCAGACAATAGCTCTTACTCAGCACTAAAAAGAAATGAGCTGCCAAGTCACAAAGAGACATGGAAGAAACTTAAAAGTGGATTTCAAGGTGAAAGAAGCCAATCTGAAAAGGCTACATATTGTAAGATTCCAACTCATTCTGGAAAAGCAGAATTGTAGAGACAGTAAAAGGATCAGTGGTTGCCAGCTGGTGCGGGGAGGGAGGATGAACAAGCAGAGCACAGGGGCATTTTAGGGCAGTGGAACTACTCTGTATGATAGTGTGATGGTTGGGGGGCATGTGTCATTATATATTGGCCTGACCCATAGTGAGCCCTAATGTAATAACTATGGACTTGGGTGATGATGATGTGCCAGTGTGGGTTTGTCAGTGGTAATAAATATACCCCTCTGGTGCAGGGTATCCATAGTAGGGGAGCTTGTGAGTGGGGATGGGGTATATGGGAACTCTCTGAACTTTCTGCTCCAAAAAAATAGTTTATTAAGACAAAACAAAAATACCCTAGAAAGATGAGCCCTCAGACCAAAGGACACTTTGGCTGAGCCCCTCACAAGACACTCACCTCTGTATCTCCCCATTGTCCCTCCTTCCAGCCTCCTGCCCCCCTTCTCAGGTCTGGCCCATTCTTAACTGCTCAATCCTTCTGAATCCCACTCTCCAGGCCCCAGGCACCTCCCTCCTCTGCTTCGCTCAAGGCCAGGCAGGATGTTGAAGATCTGCAAGGCAGAGCTTTTACTTGGGAGGGAGCCTGAGGCCCAGAGTGGGCGGCGGGGGTTACTAGGGCCCAGGCCGTGGCATGGCCTCCATGGCTTCTCCCAGCTTCCCTATCTACACCTGTGTCCATACTCCCACCCCCAAATTTTCTTCCCTCCTTTGCTACCATCTCTCCTGTGCCAGAAGCTTGCCCACACTGTCCATCCTCTGAGCCTCCAAGGTCCAACCCCAGATGTGCGAGTGCATTTGTGTGCATCTTTTGCGCATATGACTGCATCACAGGCACGTGTGTGGGTATGCAAGGAGTGTGCTTTCTCTGTGTGTGCAGATGTGTCGTGTGACTGTATGTGTGATATTTTGGGCAGTTGGTGGTGTCTGGCATGTGTGTGAGTGTGCACAACTGGGTTCTGAACTTGCACCATTACACATGACTCTCCTCTGCATTTGGGGTATCTCCAGCTCCAGGCTGCAGTTTCCTGGAGGACCGTTTCTTCAGCCTCATTTTTTCCCTCCTTCAAGTGCCTGGATATCATCCCTTCTCCATGCCGGGCCTTCCCGGAGGAGAGAAGTGGAAGAACCCCACTCAGGCTTGCCTTCTCGCCTGCTTAGTGCCACCCCCAGGAGGCCATTGCCTCAGATGATCCCAGCATGCCCTGGCTTCAGACCAAGAGGGAGCCCATTTCACGTGTGGGAACAGAGGCCTCCCCTAGACTAGTTACAAATCTCCCTGCTGGGCTAGATGGTCTGCTAGGTGGGAGTAAAGGGGAAGTGCCCCTGGGGAGTAGGCAGGGGTGAGATAGATTGCCAGGAAGTGCCTCCTGAAGAGGTAGGGCTGGGGCAACTAAAAAATGGGGTTGGCATCCCTAAAAAAATTGAGATCAAGACGCAGCAACTAGGTGAGCTAACTGGTCCAGGAGTACTTGCACAAAAAGTCTGAGCCGAGGGCCAGCACTGGAGGCTTTACTGGTTTTGTATAGTCATTTCTCTGGGATAGAGGGGGATGACACCTTAAAATGAATTTTCAGCAATAATGGATTCCCTTTCTTGGTTCCCGGCACTGAGCTGCAACACAAAAGAGAGATTGTCACTTGGACCCCAGATGGGAGGTGTCGGGGGAGAGGGGAGAACCCAGAAGCCTCTGGGGGGTAATGTTGCTGCTGCATGCAGCTGGGCAGCTGCTGTTCTGTTCTGTGTCCATTCATCACCAGAAAGCAAGGGGTGCTGGAGAGCTCTGCTCTCTCATCTTGCCCTCAACAGGGCATCCTGGACTCCAGGGCTGGGGCCAGCAAGCTCTCTGCAGGGCAGACACTAGCTTGAGCATTTCCTGCTTAGGGAGGTACTGCCGCCCGGTGGGAAGCTTTTTAAACCATCATGGCCCTTCCCATGTGAACCCAGGCCCCTGCCCTGATCCCAGAGTGCTCACCCTCCATGGTCCCCAGGCCTCCTGCGGCCCTGGCCTTGGCATTGGACCTCAGCCCACCGGAACCTTGTTTCCAGTAGCCTTTATGAGGTCACTCAGGTCGAGGCATCACAGCCTGCTGTACATCCCCCCCACCTCACCCAGCCTCTCATTCCACTGTTCTCCACCCCTACCTGGCTATGTGAAGAGCAGGGCCCCCCCATCCTAGCATAGCCCTCCTCCCTGGGGAGAGCTGTGGTGCTGGCCTTACTTACTCTTTCCTGGCTCCCTGCAGCGGGGGAGGGATAGCTGGAGGCTGGAGAAGCTTCATTTCTCCTTCAATGGTGGCCCTCTTGGCCCCCAGTTTGCTGAAGTCAAGGTAAGAGCGAGGGAGATTCTTGTCTTCCTGATTCCAAGTTTTCTGTGGCTCTCCATCTTCAGGTGGTTTCTCTGGTGGTATCTCCTCCTGCTTTCCCAGCTTTTGCTTGTCTGCAGCAGGTTGGACAGGCTCTGTAGAAGGCTGGACGGTTTCTGTAGACGGCTGGACAGGCTCTGTAGAAGGCTGGACGGTTTTTGTAGAAGGCTGGACAGGCTCTGTAGAAGGCTGGACAGTTTCTGTGGAAGGCTGGACAGGCTCTGTAGAAGGCTGGATGGGCTCTGTAGAAGGTTCCTCAGTCTTCTGGGATTGAGCTTTGATTATGTGCTCCAAATTGGGCAAGTTCATCTTACTGGAGGAGGCCATGGCCAGAGAAGATGCAAAGTTGATTAGCTCTGCCAGGCCAATGGCTGGCGAAAGACTGGAGGAGGATAGGTGAGTGCTTGGTGGCACCTGGGAGCCTGTGGCTGGATGATCTGAGTGAGCACTGGAGGTCTGGACCTGATTCTTGGAGCTCGGGGTGTTGGTATGGATAAAATTCTGGCCTAGGTGGCTGGTGGTCTTGTCTCCACCACTCTTTTTGAGATGCACGTTTATCTCCTTCTGCAGGCTGTGTTCTGAGGCCTGAATGAGCTTGTTTGCCCAGAAGAGGTGCTTGGAGGTCTGCACGCGGATAGAACGATGCTCAGTGAACACCTGGCTCTCCTCTGGGGAACTCGTGTAGCTGGTGTTTGAATTCATACTCCAGGGCCTGAAGTTCTGCAGCAACGGTAGACCCTCTGTGTAGGGGTGGACGGGCTCTATCCTGTACTCCAGCTTCTTGGGCTCTTCATCGCCATCACTCACCTTCCATGTATCTACTTCAACTTCTGGGTTGAGTGCTGGGTGCAGCTCTGACTTCAGCAAAGTCACGAGCTCGAGATCTGGGACTGGGCCTAGGTCTGGGTCCGGGTCCAAGTTCACTTTGGGTGGGGATTCCTGCTCTAGCAATTCCTGCTCTGCCTCCAGCTAAAGGATTCAAGTCAAAGCTGAGGAGGTAAGAGCTGGAGGTCCCTGCCCCTGAGGTCCTCCCTCACCCCAGGTTCCTGTCCCACCCTGCCTAGGTCCTGCTCTTCCCCCCCCCATGCTATGTGTGGGTACTGTATGAGCACACACTGGCCTGGAATGAGGGTCCCAGAGTTGTCGAGGACTGGGGATGGTTGGGGTTTAGGGATCCTTGCCCTGTAAGAAGTGACTTTCCCATTCTTACCGCTATCTCATCTTCCTCTTTCATCATCTGGGACTGGAAATGCTGTGGGTTTAAGTCATCATCCCTGAGACAGAAGGAGACAGAGTGGGTGATAGGGATCTGTAGAGTAGATGGAGTGACTGCAGGGGGAAGGGGGTCTCTGGGGTTCTTAAAGCCACCTGCCTTGTACAAGGACTGGCAAGATGCTTCCCTACCCCCTCATCTATTCTACAGGCTGTCCACCAAGAAGTCTGCAATGGTATCTCCAAACTTGGCAGTTCATGCCTCACCTCAAAGAGGGATCCGGTTGGTTGGAGGTAAGGCCTGTGAATCTGCATTTTCTCAAGCATTGAAGGGGTGAGCTGATGCAGCTCACTTTGAGAATCAGTGCCCAGAAAGTGGCTCCTTACAGAGGGGGAAGCCCAGGGCAATGTCCCCACCCATTTGCCCACTCCCACCTTGGACAGCTCTGTCCTTAATAGGTACGGTAGCTCTAAGTGTCAGGTGACATCCTTGTCCTTGGATATACCCCCCACCCCCAGTCCTTATCCAGTGTTAGGGCTGAAGGCAGAAACAGAAAGGGGTGGTAGAGACCCTTCCCCCTCCCCAGCCTTCTGGCCTGGATACTGCCCCTGGGGAAGTTCGGAAATGAGCAAAATGGAGGGAACCTGCGGTTGGGGGATATGTGGTGTCAGTGGGTAAAGGCTAGAGGTTGTGGGGAGGCCAGAGGCAGGCCCTACGATGATGGCAGACCGCTTCTCACCGGATATCCACTATTTCCACAGACTTCTGGCCACAGCAGGGTAATCCGTGGGCACCTGGCAGGGAGAAGGAGGTGAGGGCAGGGAGCTGCAAAGTGGGGGACAGTCTCTGAGGGATCTGGAGTCAGGTCTGCAGTGCTGCTGCCTCCTCCCGCCCTCCTTCCCTTTCCCCTCACCCTCTGTGCCCCTTCCCAGCCAGAACCACCAGTCGTCCCCTCCACTTGCCATCTTTGTCCCACCCCATCTGCATCCTCCATGGGGCGAATGCTGGCGGAGCCTTTCCCTTGACTGAGCACTGCTACATCTTGGGCATTCTATGTCCTTTATCTCACTGATTCAACACAGAAAATTAGAAGAGGGTCATTTGCCCCAAAGTGAGGATGTTAATGCAGGTTTGACTCAAGAACCTCCTGAGCTTCCTGCACTGCTGTCCTGCCCAAGAGCCTGTGACCGTGTGGGTTCCCGTCAGAGCCCACTTGAACCTGCCTCATCTCCACCATTTCTGTTCCTCTTCCTGCCTTCTCCCTTCTCTCTGGGCCATCCATCCCTGACCTCTAAACCAAAACCCTCATTCCAGGTATGTGATTTGAGGTGATGTTAGCACCTGTCTGGTTATTTGTGAGCTTGGGTTACCCTCTGCAGAGGAGACTGACTCCTTGGGGAGGTTCTCCCACCTCCTTGGAGGCTTGAATTTTTACTGCAGAAGCTGCTGCTTCATCCTCTTGGGCTAGCAAGCACCAGGCTGTTCTGTTCTCTGTTCTCCAGGGTAGTAGATAGGGGGGCTGTCATGGCAATCCTGCCATCATGCCAGGTGGGTCCCCATGAACCTGGGATGTGGAAGAAGTGACGGCCCTGCCTCTGGCCGGGAACTGCCCCCAGGATTATATAAGTAGGATAAGAATGTGCTATGACCTCTTCCAAGAGATGCAGAGGCTGGGAAGAGGGGTACTTCCATGGCTGATCCTGAGACTGGGAACTGGCCTCAGCTTGGGCCTGGGGGATCTTGGGTCGGCTGAGAGACAGGGCTTTGCAGTCACCACCATGGACAGCTCCCTGAGGCCAGCTCCGCGGTCTCTTCAGAACCCTCTACCTCCTCGGCTTCCTCACATCTCTCTGCCCCATCTCCAATTTCCCTGCCCGAGTCCTGTTGTTCCCCAGGCTTCTGACCGCAAGACCTGCCTTTACTTGCTCTATAGAATTTCCCTGGGCAATTTAAGTCAGCACTCACAGCCTCAACCCTTCCATGAACAGCAACTGGGTATGGACAGGAGGAGAAATTATTGCAGCCTGAGCCTTGTAGCAGCATGGGGAGGAGGAGTTGGAAGAAAAAGTCTGCTTCATTCTGGGGTTTAGGTAGAAACATTAAGTATGACGATAACTATAGTTTTTTCATAGCTGTCCTTTATAAGGTTGAGGAATTTTGCTTAGCTTTTAATTAGGAATCGATGTTGGATTTTGTTTTATGCTTTTTCTGCAACAACAGTCTCTCACTCTGTCACCCTCGGTAGAATGCCATATCATCATCATAGCTCACAGCAACCTCAAACTCTTGGGCTGGAGCAATCTTCTTGTCTCAGCCTCCTGAGAAGCTGGGACTATAGGCGCCTGCTAGTTTTTCTATTTTTAGTAGAGATGGGGTCTCACTCTTGCTCAGGCTGGTCTCAAACTCTTGAGCTCAAGCAATCCTCCCACCTTGTCCTCCCACAGTTCTAAGATTATAGGTGTGAGCCACCACCCCTGGCTTTTTCTGCACTTATTGAGATGATCATGTTTGTTTGTTTATATTCTGTTACTATATTGTATATGTCATGTATAATATGCTGTGATATATTAACATACAAGTAATGTTATGTTATTTAGTTAATTCTTATATATCCTATTTATGGTGAAATAAATTGATTTTTTAAATGTTAAATAAGGCTGGGTATGGTGGCTTATGCCTAAAATCTAGTGTTTTGGGAGGTCAAGGTAGGAGGATCACTTGAAGCTAGGAGTTCAAGACCAGTCTGAGCAACATAGCCAGACCCTATCTTAAAAAAAAGAAAAAAGAAAAAGGAATGAAACTCCCCAAATTAGGTAGGCATGGTGGCATGTACCTATAGCCCCAGCTACTTGGGAAGGTGAAATAGGAGGAATGCTTGAGCCCCGGAGTTTGAAGTTGCAGTGAGCTACAATGCACGCTTATTCAAACAAATAGACTGAGACTGTCTCCAAAAATAAAATTACAAACAAATGTTAAACCAAATTGCATTATTGGGATAAAGCTCATTTGGTCATAATGTATTATCCTTTTTATTAAATATATATTGTTGAATGTGATTGGCTAAATTTTTTTAGAATTTTCATATCAGGAGGGTGCCAAAAAATTTATACTTTTTAAAAGGGCAAAAACTGTATTAAAATTTTAGTACTCAGCAGCACCCATAGCTTAGTGGGTAGGGCGTTCAAACCCAGCCAGGGCCAGCTAAAATCAACACTGACAACTGCAACAAAAAAATAGCCAGGCATTGTGGTGGGCACCTGTAGTCCCAGCTACTTGGGAGGCTGAGGCAAGAGAATCACAGAAGCCCAAGAGTTTGAGGTTGCTGTGAGCTATGACGCTATGGCACTCTACCGAGGGCAACATAGTAAGACTATCTCAAAAAAATTTTTTTAATACTCAGTATATACAGATGTTTGTCATCTTATGTAATATATATCTCTTATATTTGCAGAAGTCAAATGTGATTTGAAGTTTATAATTTTAATAGTTTTTTCCTTTCTTAAAATGTGTATACATTTTTTGGCACCCTCCATATATAATGGATGAGGAGGGTATATTGGTATGTAATTTTCTTTCTTTTTTTTTTTTTTTTGAGACAGAGTCTCACTTTATCACTGTTGGTAGAGTACCATAGCATCATAGCTTACAGCAACCTCAAACTCTTGGGCTCAAGTGATCCTCTTGTCTCAGCCTCCTGAGTAGCTGAGACTACAGGCACTCACCACAATGCCCAGCTATTTTTAGAGGTGGGGTCTCACTCTGACTCAGGCTGGTCTCAAATCTGTGAGCTTAGGCAATCCACCCATCTTGGCCTCCCAAAGTGCTAGGATTACAGGCATGAGCCAGTGTGTCCGGCCTAATTTTCTTTTCTTGTAATGTCTTTGTTAGGTTTTGATAGTAACATTGGCTTCATAGAATGAGTTGAAAGATATTCTCTCTTCAATTTTCTGGGCTCAGCACCTGTGACTCAAGTGGCTAAGGCACCAGCCACATACACCTAAGGTGGCGGGTTTGAATCCAGCCCGGGCCAGCCAAACAACAATGATGGCGGCAACCAAAAAATAGCCAGGCGTTGTGGTGGGCGCCTGTGGTCCCAGCTACTTGGGAGGCTGGGGCAGGAGACTTGCTTGAGCCCAGGAGTTGGAGGTTGCTGTGAGCTGTGATGCCATAGCACTCTACCCAGGGGACGGCTTGAGGCTCTGTCTAAAAAAATTTTTTTTCTGAAAGGGTCAGGCACAGTGGCTCCTGCCTATAATGCTACCACCCTGGGAGGCTGAGATAGGAGGATCAATTAAGTTCAGGAGTTGGAGACTAGCCTGAGCAAATTGAGACCCCCCCTCTCCACCAAAAATAGAAAAATTAGCCAGGCCTCATGCTGGGCACCTGTAGGCTCAGCTGTTCAGGAGGTGGAGGCAGGAAGATCACATGAACCCAGGAGTTTGAGGTTGCTGTGAGCTATGATGATGCCACAGAACTCTGGCCTGGGCAACAGAGAGAGAGACTCTGTCACAAAGGGAAAAAAAAAGTAGAAACAGATATTCTGGAGATAGATAATGGCAATGGCTCACAATGACATAAATGTACTTAATGCCACTGAATATACACTGAAAATGGCTAAAATGGTCAATTTTATATTATGTATATTTTACCACAACAAAGAAGAATAAGTAGGCTATTGAGTATCTTTAAGGAATCTATTTTATGTAAGCTGTCAAATTTATTGGCATAATTTGCTCATAACATTTGCTTTTCATATGTGTAGAATCTATAGTGATATCATCTCTTTAATTCCTAATTTTGTCAGTTTGGCTAGAGATTGATTTATCAATTTTGTTGATCTCAAAGAAGCAACCTTTGGTTCCATTTATTTCCTTTATTGTTTATCTACTTTCTTTTCCTCAATTGCCACTCAGATCGTTATTATTTTTTCTTTTGTTTATTTTGGGATTCATCTGCTTTTTCTTCTCCCTAGTTTCTTTCTTTCTTACTATTTTTTTTTCTCGAAGTTTTTTTGGCTGGGGCTGGGTTTGAACCCGCCACCTCCGGCACATGGGGCTGGGGCTCGGGCTCTACTCCTTTGAGCCACAGGCATTGCCCTCTTTCTTAGTTTTAGAGACAGGTCTGTATGCAGGCCAGAGTGCACTGTGTGATCATAGCTCACACAGTGAGCCTCGAACTCCTGGGCTCAAGCAATCCTCCCAGAGTGCTGGGGATTATGGGGTGAGGCCAGAGTGCACTGTGTGATCATAGCTCACACACTGTAGCCTCAAACTCCCAGGCTCAAGCAATCCTCCCAGAGTGCTGGGATTATGGGGTGAGCCACCATGCCCAGCCCTCCCAGTTTCTTAAGGTGGAAGCTGACGTCATTGATTTGAGACTTTTTTTCTTTTCTAATATAAGAGTTTATTCTTATGATTTTAACTATATGCCATAAATATCAAGGTTGTGTTTTCATTTTCATTCAGTTTATAGTACTTCCTAATTTCCACTTTGATCCTTCTTTAACACATGCATTATTCAGAAGTGTATTGTTTTCCAAATATTTGGGGATTTTCTATTATTTTTCTGTTATTTATTCATTCACTTATTTTATTTTTTGAGACAGAATCTCACTTTGTCACACTTGGCAGAGTGCCGTGGTGTCATAGCTTATAGCAACCTCAAATTTCTGGGCTCAAGTGATCCTCTTGCCCCGGCCTCCTGTACGGACACCTGTCACCATGCCCAGCTCGTTTTTCTATTTTTTAATTTTTTTAGTAGAGACAGGGTCTTACTCTTACTCAGGCTGGTCTCA